GAAGCTCTTTATCTGACCTTCAATTCTGAATGATAGCTTTGCTGGATAAAGTAATCTTGGTTGCAGGTTCTTGCTATTCATCACTTTGAATATTTCTTGCCACTCTCTTCTGGCCTGCATGGTTTCTGTTGAGAAATCAGCTGACAGTCGTATGGGTACTCCCTTGTAGGTAACAGAATAACTGTATTTTTTAAAGGCAGCTATTAGATTTTAAATAGGATAATTTTGAATCTAATTGTTATTTGGGGGAGATTAAATATTTTAAAATGTTAAGTGTTCTCATCCATAAGCACATCTCTCTCTCTCCATTTATGTAGGTCTTCTTTAATTTCTCTCAACAGTATTTTATAGTTTACAAAGTAGAGATTCTCTTATCTCTTCCAATATTTTTCTTGTGATTTCCTATTTTTGTTGCTATTATAAATCGTATTTATTTTATTTTTCAATTATCTGTTGCTAATATAAAGAAATACATTTTTTTAATATTGACCTTGTATCCAGCAATGTTGTTAAATGTGCTTACTCAAGTAGCTTCTTTGTACATGTCAGTGGATTTTCTATTAATTATGTCATTTGTAAGTAAGGAGGTTTTACTTCCTTTTCACTCTGGAAGCATTTTATTTCTTTCCTCATTGTCTTATCAGAGCTTCTAGAATAATGTTAATTAAAACTAAGGATAGTAAACATGCTAGTCATGTTCCTGATTTAAGGGAGAAAACAACCAGTTTATCATCATTAAATGTGATATTAGCTATAGGTTATCATAGATTAAAGAAGTTTTTTTCTATTGTAGTTTTTGATAAGGTTGTTGTTGTTGTTAAGTACAGAAAAAAATTATTGGAAATATCTTGAATATGTTTTAAAGTATAACTCAGTGTTTCCAATCAAGGTAGGCTGGAGGTAGGGAGGGACTCTGCCTCCTGGAGACAGATGACTGGTCCCAGCCCTCCCCCAGTTCTGCAGAGGTCAATCTAGGCTCATACCTTTAACTGTACAGGGCTGAGGGGCAAGGGCTGGCCTTGACCATTTCTTTGCTCCTTCCTGGCTCAGCTCAAAGTCAGGGCTCCTGGCCTCTCACTGCGGGGGTCCTGAAGAAAGGATTCTGCCTATACAGGCCATTAGAGTCAAAGAGGAAAACAGCTAACAGGCCTTCCACACTTGGCCTGAAAAGGAGGGTAGTGGCTGAGACATTGGGGCTGAGGGTTGAGGGGCAGGGAACGGATAACTTACATTGGGCCCCCAACCTTCTTAGCACTGGGGCCATGGGGGTAAACCTGGATAGGTTTAGCAGGCCCTGAGTGTGCTCTGGCCAAGAGATAGGGGGGCCAGCTGGACACCACTGCTGTGAACACTTCTTTGTGGCAGAGAACACATGCACAGGGGCAGGGCTCGGCCTAACGGAGACACCATCAGAGCCCACTCCAGCCCTCAGAGATCAGCTTCGTAGGTGGAAACAATGTCACATGCATTTACTAACAAGCAATTGAAGGCCATGTGTCCCACTGCAGAACAGCCACTGCCAGTGAATACCGCTGGTGGGTCAGGAGGAAAGGGGCAGGCCTAGGTTTCCATGGCCAAGACTACCAGTTAGGCTGGGAGAGAGACAGACAGCACAGGTGGCTGAGGCCAGGCACTTGACTCACCCACATGCAATTTCTGAAGGGTTAAGTCAATAAGGTGCCCAGCTTTAGTTTCTTAAAAAGGAACCAGTAAACCTCAGGCCAGGGTACAGACCCTAGGATTAAAGGAGGGTGGTGGCCAGGCCCATAACGCAGCCCTGAGAAACAGAAGCAAGTACCCCAGGAGGGGCCTGTCTGGACTTCCCCAGGC